GCTTCAGTCCAAGGACTTCAAAACATCTATCTGCATTGTAAACACAGCGCGGGCTGCCCGTCTCCCTTGGCATCCCCGGCTCTATTGTTCCCAACCACACACAGACACACACACACACACACACACACACACACACACACAGAGCGGCCTTATCTCCAGGGATGGAAAGGAGTCTTTTGTCCTGCCACCATGGGGTGGGGATTTGGGGATAGTCTTACCAACACAGACTAGCATTCATTTATCAAAAGGGCTTATCCCCGCTCAATTGTTCCCAACACACACACACACAGAGCGGCCTTATCTCCAGGGATGGAAAGGATTCTTTTGTCCTGCCTGGGTAGCCTTACACGGAAGTGCTGGTCTGGGTCTGGCTATCAAAAAGTACATCCTGTTATCACATTGCTTGGAGCCCCTACAAAAGCGCAGGATGGGTCGTCCCTCGCTGTCCACAGCACGGCCTATGGAAAGTTCTCTGGACAAGGCCGTCCCTGTTGCTAATGAGAAGGTTTCTGTTGGTGCTGAGCTGGCGGTAAGGGCGTCCTCACACTCACTCTCACACTCGGGCATCGTCTGGCTGTGGCTTTGGCCTCTCCTTGGGAGCTTGGGATGTTAAAACATCTCTGATTATTTGGGCTCCAGCGCTCTTAGGAGTAAATTGAGATGGCTGAAATTCTGATTTGCATTTTGGATCCTATGAAAGTTACCGCCTTCTATTACTCAGCTGTTTACAATGAGCCGTCTGTTTCTCATCTGAATGTGAGTGAATTGCAAGGAGACCCAGCCAAGGTGCTGAAAGAAACCAGATCTTTTCCCCCTCCTAAATCTTTTTAAAGAAATAAGATTGTGAGGCGCAGGAAGATTTTTGAAAAATAATATAAGGGTTGGACGATGAACATACCATCTGATGCATGTGGTCCTGTCTGCAGGGTTAGGCAGATGAGCATGCAGTTAAGTCACATTCAGAGCTCTTAAAGGTGCCCTGGCAGCACAGTGATTCAGTATTGGCAGCTAACTCCAAGGTCAGCAGTTTGAAACCATTAACCGCCCCATGGGAGAAAGGGGGCTTTCTCCCCCTGTCCAAGGTTTCCCAAATGGTCACAGGAGTTTCCCACAGTGATTGCACGGGTGCAGAGTAGACCTGTCCCAGGGGTGTCTAAGCCGGCCACCTTTGGGAAGCAGATCCCTGGGCCTTTGTTCCGAGGCCCCCAGGCTGCCTTCGAGCTGCTGCTTTCTCTGCAAGTCTTTGAATGCAACTTCGTGCCCCTAGAGAGGGAGCTGGGGGTTGTTCATATACCTCATCTGTTGGATGCCGTGTGCGCGTGTGTGTATGTTTGCGCATGTGCACGTGTGCATACACACGCTGCCCTGGCACGCCATTGAGTGGCCCCTGCTATGTGAAAGGCATTGAACAACCAGGGTAGAGACACACCATACCTGGGACGGGTACGAAGACCCAGCGCGGCCCCACCAACACTTGTGGCCGCTTTTGAAAACACCCGCTCCCCGGGAAGTGCACTTCATCCATCCACGACGTCAGACAACCAGCTCTGCTCCAGGAAACATTTTCATCCCCTCAAAGGGAACTTGTACCGACTGGTGACCCCTAACCTTGCTGCTAGATTTGTCCTATCCATGGGACACTACCATCTGTGACTGCCTGTCTGGCTTCTGTGGCTTAGCATGACGTCGCCAAGGGTCTCGATGCTACAGCATCAGTCAGTGTTTCAGTCCCTTTTGTGGCTGACTGTTCTGTTTACAGATGCACCCTGATTGTCATCCCTTCGCCTGTTGATGGACATTTAGGTGGCTTCTGGCTGCTGGGAACATCTGTATATAAGGTTTCATTATTCTTGGTACTGTGAATTAGGTGAAGGTGTACAGAGCATCTCACCTCTTTTACATTCATCCATTGCCAGGCCTTCAATGTAGCATCACTTGTTCCTGTGTTTCCATCTTTCCTTCTTTCCCGTGCTTTGTCCTTGAGTGTTAAAGCTGCCCCTTTGGGCTTAGCTGGCTGATGATTCTAACGCAGGGTTAAGTTCAGTTCCAGACGTGAACCGTGACTGGGGCCTTAGTCTTGGGGTTCTATTGGTCTTGCTCCAACACGTCAGCCTGGTGTTTTCTGATTTAGGGCTCTGTCCCACCTTTCCCTCCCATTCTACCCAAGACATTCTCCTGTGATCTCTTGCAGATCAGCTAGTACAGTAGCTGGGCACCATCAAGTTCTGGCGCATCGTGTTATTAGTCTATCGGTCTTCATTCTTTCCTCTGGATGGAGAGAGACCAATCGCCAGTGTTTCAGACCCCAGGCACTACTCACCGAAGTAGAATGGAGAACATCGTCTTCACAGACTGTGGTAAGCCACTAGGTGGCATCCTCCAAGACTCTGCCCTGAGTGCCAAGGCCAGGGAACTCCCTCCCTCCAGATGTGTACCCCTCTGTGTGCTAGCACAGCCACGGGTATCTTTGCAGCAAAGGGAATGACACATAGACATATCAGTGGTCCAAATCTGGATGGATCTGTAGGTATACTCCCACTCTTCCTCCCACACCTGTGTCTCTCCAAGCAGCTACTTGTAGATCGCTGCTGCAGGATCGTGCGTACCAGTGTTTGCTGGGAGCCTCATCCTGAAGGCCTTCAGCTCAAGCTGTAGCATCAGCCAACCTAGCTCCTGGAACTAAATGCCCAGGAGAACCCCGCTCCAGGAGGCACCTGCCCAAAGGCACTCAGCTCCTCCTCCAGGTGTCAGCAATCCAGCTTCCCCAAGAGGCCCCCCAAGTCCATCACTGCTCCGTGCTCTGGCTCTCCTGTGGTGTAGCTGCCATCTGGATCTAGGAGGGTCACTGTGCAGCGAACTTGGGTCCAGAGAACTTGCTCCACTCCTGGCTCTAGCTGGTCGTGAGACCCCTCCTCCTGCTTCTCCGAGGACTGCTTTCATACACAGCAAGATGACACTCCAGGAAATCCTGTTCACAAATCACTCACAGGCGAATCCTATCAGTCTCTTCCCCCACCTTCTTGCCAGACCCATGCAGGGAAAGGCCGTATGGTGGGCGTTGGACACTTTACCCAGAAGAGCCACAGCAAGTCACTCCCTGTCCCTGCAGTGTGTGTAACCGCATTTGCCTCTGTTGCGGTTCACTCTCGCGAATCTGCCACTCTCTTGGCCTGCTTCCATTGCTTT